GTTGCTATGGAGGACCAAAACTGACATAATAGAAATAAAAGGCTTATTTCTAATTATTTCTAATTATATCAGTTTCTGTCCTCCATTTTCAGCTGCAGTATTGGATTAACTGACATTTCTTTCTATTTTATCTTATGATTTAGTTTTCTGTTTATCATTTTTACTATAAGTTTCTAATTATCTTCACGTTCTTCTCTGTAGGTGAAGAAAAATTAATTACAAAATCTAAAGATAAATTCAAAAACTACAAAGTCAAACTTCAGTAGAGCTTCTGCAAACAAAACAAACTCATATGTTTTATATATTTTACATGAAGTGTATTCTGGTAAATGCTCTGAAGTGACTTCACAGATTGTGTAATTCTGCAGCTCATGTTACAAAACGAGCAAAGGAAAAGTCCGAGTTAAAAAAATAAAAGCGTGAGCAGCTCGAKCCATGCTGCAGACCTGACGCTTTGACATTCAAATCAACGTTTTTTTTTTTTTAATTAAAACTGTAAATTTAAGCAGAGTTTCTGTCAGAGTCAAAGTGTTTGGCTCCAGTTTAAACTCCAACCTGCAGGACTTCATGTGTCGCCCACAGTCTGCCTGTCTCTGGCGCTGAGTCAGCAGTTTTCCCGGCTCGTTGCTCCAGCATGTTTCTGAGGAGCCAGCTGGCTCTGCTGACGCCCGTCTGTCCGAGCAGCTCCGACGTGTTCATCGGTGCCGGGTCGCCTGCAGTTTGACTCGTCTCTGCTTCGGGGGGCGGTTCTGGTTCTGGTTCTGCAGAGACGCTCGGAGGTCCCTGAGCCAGTCTTAAAGAAAGGTTTGTTGAAACCTATGAAGCTCTCAGGACAACAGTTTTAAATAAAAATGTGTTGTAAAACTAAAAGTTTCAAGCAGTTATGTTGTAGCTTTTATAATTTGTATCGACATGTTTTTAGTATTATTCTTGCCAGAAATCAAACGAGCTGGTAGAGAAATAAACAGCAGGTCCATTATTCTTCAAATTTAAGCTAATTCTGTTATTTTGTGATATTAATATTACTAATATATTGATATTTTTCTAACTTCAATCTATTTTGTCTTCTGTTTAGCACCTGTATCTGCAGGACCAAAACATTTGAACATTGAAGTTGTTAAAACCATGTGGCTCTCTGTGAAAATGATGCAGAGTTTAGCTTCCTTTGCTTCTTTTGTAGCTGTTAGCATAACGGTTTTATTAAGTGATGAGAGCGGGGACGAGCTGCGACTGGATTTGTGTTCTGCTCCCAAGCATCCATCCAAAACATCTACACTGAACCATTGTTGGACAAATACATGTATCATCACCTCCCTGTTAGAAAGTACAAGGTTCACAGGACTGTAGCCAACTTCCCAAGACATGGACGCAAGAGGAAATGCAACCCCAGAGAGAGGGTAGTAACTGCTGCACATCCCACATCCTTGAGTCTGCAGGTCTGAAACACGCTGTGAATGTGAAGCTGAGTACACCAATTACTGCCCGACATATGATACTACCCCCCCCCCCCCCCCAGCTTTTCTTTTTAACAATCCTCTCCTCTCCCCTTTGGCATCTCCCTTCTTCTCAGTCTCACTCATTAAAACAGATCCCCGGTCCTCTCCCAGGAGAGGAGTAAAAATAGCTCTTCTTCAACTCACTGATTTGTTTTTATATTTCCCTCCAGCTTGTGTTCCATACATCAAATACGAGTGTTTCTCTGTAATAACCATGGCTGCAGAGCTTCCCTGCTTCGCCTGAGCCGACGGTTTGCACCTGAACAAAACTGGCCCCAGAGACGTTTGTCAGGAAGTTTCATGTAGACGGACGGCGTGTTTGAGGGGGAACAAATTAAAAGTGGTCCTGACGGATGTTCCCCATCAGAGACGGAGGTAATGAGGTGCTTCGGACGTTTAAATTAAAGCAAGGCTTTGTTTGTAATAACATACTTTTTAAAAAATAAAATAGGTTTACGATGCTCAAACCTTCAAAAACGATGAAATTATTTGATTTGTATTAGTTACTGTTTGAGGAATTTAAATTTTTGTTTTGTTTTATAATTTGGTTTATCATTGTTTAAATTTTTTTTAATTTAAAAAAGGAGCAGATATAAGAATTTTTTCTTCTTCTGCCTTTCATTTCATTTTATTTTTTTTTGTATTGTTTTGTTGTGTGAAATGTTTTGTTTGTTTTTTAATGAAACGAATAAGTGAATTGAATTGAAAAATTGAATTGAATGTTCGCCGCTCGGCTGTGGCGGCCATCTTGAATCAGATTCAAAACATAACACAGGGTAAAAAAATTCTTTTGAAAATACTTTAACTTTTGACAATTGATTTATTACAAACATCCACAAATGACTCCAAAAATAATATTCGTTTCAATCAATCAGGTCACGGTTTTATGCTAAGTTCATTTTTAAATCAGTGTTTGTCTAAATGGATTATTATGGATAATATGGACATTATCGGTTGATTTTTAGTAATATTTCTCATTCGAATTAGATTTTTAAGGTATAAATTGTTTTCTAACACAATTTATTGATGAAACGTTACAAACACTGGTTACTGTAAATGTAGCAGTCCACATTGTTTGATTAATTAATTAATGTTATGAACATGTAAAGTTCAGTTCAGAATCAGAATCTTTTATCTTCATTCTTCTTACTGAATTCTTGACTTGTTTCCTCCTCACTTCAACCACTTAGTTTCATTTAGTTCTCTTTCACTCCTTGCTTATGTGCACCATCAAACCAGAGCAAACTCCTGGTCTGTCACTTATTTACTGACAACAATAAAGTGTTTCTGATTCTGACGTCATTGCTCCAAATTTAGGGCTTGAACTTGTGTTTCAGACAAATCTTCCTGCCCTTTGTCCACTGACGCTGCATGCTTTGTCCGAGTTTCATACCAAAATAATCAGGCTTTATGAAACTTGTGACTGGATTCCATGTACTCACCACAGATGTAACAGAATACATCAGGTTTATTTTTGCAAGACCTTCTGATGGAAGCCATTTTGTTTTTATGTAATACAGAAACTTTTCACTTTACTAACATGACAGGAAGCAAATTGACATGACTCAACTTGCGGTCTGAATAAGTAAATAATTTCATTTCTAGAACGTGAAATAAATAAAATTGAAATGAAATAAAAAATAAACAGAATTGTAGAAAAACAGACCATTTCGTGGATACCGTTTAGCGCCGCCTACCAGAAGCGACACACAATGGTTTGTGGGATTGTTTGGTGGCAAACAAAAGAAAAGTAAACGATGGGACAGGTTATAAACGTTTAAAGTTTGGATTGTTGCACATTTTAAAATGTTTATTTTGGTTTGTGAGGTACCAACTTTTAATCAGAAAAAGGACAAACTCGTCCAGAACTTTTACCTGCTCAAATGTTGGGATCATTGCCTACAATAACCTGGAGATGCAAAATAGAGGTAAGGTTATAATGCTGTGCAATATTTTCWCTCTGGCACTATATTAAATATATTACCAGAGAAAATCCCAGTATACAGTGATCAAATTAACAGCATTATGACCAGTGGGGCTGGGTGATAAACATTTAATCTAAATATAATCTTGAGGCAGGCTGACCTATCATTTATTAAATTCTGAGTATAAAATGTCACACATCAAATTTGGCTTAAATATTAATTCAAAATAGGTATTTTTGTTTTAACAGTGGTAAATGCATTTGTTATTGTGACCTGTAGCTTTCTGTACGGTGTATATTATTGTTAAATAAACCGTACACCAATATATGGCCAAGTGTTTTAGATATTACATACCTATATTTGTAATATTAAGTGGTCAAAATGATCTGTAGTCAGGAAATGTTTATATGCGGCCCAGATCGCTGTAAACCACATCAACATATTTAGTATAAGATCTACTAGACCGAGTGGGACAATCTTGTGTTTTCATTATTCTAAATGTTTAAACTTGTTTTCATCTATCTGTGATTATTGTTGCACAAATACACAGGTAAAACACAATACACCACCCATTTTGAGTCATTTAATTCACACACCAGCACCAGGTGCCCCCAAACTGGACCATGATGCTTTGCACTAGGCAAAGATGGCGGTCTCCATGAAATAGTCCATAGCTCAAAACGCTGACCTGATGGAGCTCAATGGATTCAGCTCTTGAAATATTACTAAGTCAGCTGAAAAAACTTAGACGTTTTCTTTAGTGTTGACCAGTGTAATCATTAAAACAAGCGCATTAGTTCCTGAGGTATTTTGCTAACAAACGCACATTAAGGATGCAGAGGAATGAGAGGCATTTGTTTGTTGAACTCCAGAGGAAGGAGCCATTAAACCCTCGTGCACAGAGCTGTTATTTACAGAGATAAATGTTAGGACTTCAGCCATGCTGGAGAGAAAGAAAAGGAGTAATCAGCTTAGATAGAAGAACACACAAACACACACGCTGCAGGAGCATAGGACCATCTGGCTGCCGTGAAAAGCAAAAAGCTTTTTCTGTCATTTCCTCATTAGTTCAATTCTTCTCCCAGTGAAAGGAGGAAGCAAGAAGAGGTAGAGGATGAAAAGGAAAGAAAAGGCTGGGCAGAAAGAAAAGAGAGACGAGCAGATGCCAGAGGACGTAAACAAACTGCTCGCTGACAGAAACTCTGCAGAAACGCTCCGTGAAAACCCCTCCAGTCCCGACAAGTACAACAATAAGTCAACGTCCATCCCTCTCAGACCTGTTGGAATATTTTATCTGTTTTACTGTTTTTATTCTTCTTAATGTTCATTTTAACTGGAGCTCTTTGATCACCTCGTCAGGTTTAGATAAATAAAGGTGGATTTAATGATTTATTCATGGGAAGGAAGGTTTATTCCCTAAATAAAAACCTGACTCCTGATCGCAGCGTGAGTAAAAAAACAAATGGCTGCATGTCACAACGACCCGACGGGAAACTGAAAATAGTGAAAATCCTCACTCACCGTCTTTGTCGGCTCTTCTGAAGATCTGTGAACAGAAAGAAGAGGAGGAGGTTAGTGTGAAGATTTCTGCAGAATGAAGCAGTAAAAATGAAAATTACTTGTCACTGAAAGGTGTCTCTGTTAACAAAATATCTTCTGAAATTTGCTAAATGTAACGATTAAACATATTAAAAACTAAAAATTAACATTTGAAGTCGGACCAACTCAAGATGGCCACCGCAGCTATCTTACATTAAAAAAACATAATAAAAACTCAAACTCAGCATTGTTTTTACCAGCCGCACCTAGTCTGAGGGCTAGCATTTAACATGTAGCTAGAAAACCAGTGTGAAGGAGCCACAAAGACTTGATACAAAAAAAAAAGTTTAAAATGTCCGAGGCAGACAGGCGGTAACGGGACACACCGTGCTACAGTCGTAAATCTTGACAACTAAAAACTTTTTAAAGCAAAACAGCACTGAGCCTTAATGTTTATCTGTCAGGGTTTTTCACAGGGTGGGGGGGGCTGCAGCCTGCAGGAGGGGGCTCAGAAATGTTGTCAATCATTATAACATCAAGTCTGTTTTTCAATCATTATTTAACATATAACTTATAATAATATACTGAAATGTTTTTAAACAGATTAAATTTGTTCTGTTTTTATAAAGAGTTTGTTAAACTGGGACTGCACTGTGTTCAATTCCTGTTAGCCACAAAGGGCTACGTAGCTTTAGCCGCTTCCGCTTCATGTTTCACAGCCATCAGGATTGAAACAAAAGAAAGTTTCACTGCCCAACGAGCAGCACCAACCTGAAGCTTTATTTTGTAAAGAATTGTTCTCGATTAAATCCTCAGTCGAATGTTTATTTTCAGATCTAAACACTCTGAGTCTGTCTGCCACTTCAGAGTCTAAACAAAATGGCCACCGATCGAGTGTTCTCATAATATTTATAGGCCACACCCCCTGGGGGTGGTCCCTCTTACGTCAGCATTGGAATGCCTGTCTACCCTGCTGGAGCGAGGCCCATGTTAAATAAACACTTGTTGATTCTCTTATGGTGCGTTCACACCGAACGCGATTTCAGCTTCAAAATCGCAGCCAACGCTGA